CATTTGATCAGAAAATAAAGCAGCAAGTGTTGTGTAGCTTGTCTTCAACTCATGCTGCTCAGGGTCATGTGGAAACACGCAGGACACAGCTGAGTTTCAGTGAGGTGCCAGAAAAAGTGGAAAAAAGCACTCCTCGGGCAAGAGCAGAGCCTTGGGTTGTGCTTCGTGCCAAGAGGAAACTAATCCGAGCAGGAAATACAATTCATGCCCCAGAGCAGGATGCATGCTGACCTGAACACACGGCGCTGCAAAGAGACAGAAATAGTCATGATGGGTTTAATTTCTTGGCAAATTACCAAGCTAAAGCCTCCAGGCACACTGCAAACCCAACTGAGAAAGGAGGAAACAGGAAAGCAAGAAATACCAGCCACACAGCTTTCACTGCTGTCAAAGAATAAGTCAACAGGAGGATTTACTCTCCAAGGAAAAGGGTGCTAGCAGAACACCACAGCCACTGGCTGCCCCAGCTGATGTCCTGTGCCAGAGCCCACCCAGGGCAGCACAAACTCCTCACAGAGCAAAGCACAGCACATGGGCAGTCCTTGCAGGGTTAGGTCACTCTCTGGGCCAGTAAAGAGCAGATACCACTGAAGGGACCCTTCAAGCAAACACAGATGTGATGCCAGTGCAGTGTGTGGGCTCCTACAGACAAGAGTGGAGGCAGGAAATCAGCTGTGCTCTCCTACAAACCCCGTTTTATTTCATGCATAGGAACTACAGAAGAGAGAAGCCTTTAATCAGCAGCTTTTTTGCACCCAGTGGCACTCTGCATACACACAGCGTATTCATTTCTGGATGTCCATGGTGACATTTGGGTGCCAGCACAAGCCAAGGGTAGACAAAGACAGTAGTAAAGCCTGGACAGCCGTGGTCCTGCCCAAAGGTCACACTGGACAGCCTGATCAGTGATGAACTGTTCTGCCAGCACCCAACAAAACCTGTTTCAGCTCTCCAGCCACGCTCTGCATGGCCAACAGCACCCATCAGCAGCTCCTCACCCTCAAAGGGCCACAGAAGCAGAAGAATAACTTATGAGGTTTTTTAGGGAGGAGTAGAGGGCTGGCAGGCTGCAAAATGAGGAAGTCAAATGTAGGTTATATGAAGGATGGGTCAGTTTTACTGACTGAGGTGAGCTGCAGTTACAGCCCAAGGGAATGGCACAGACTCAGGCACAGCATGTGACAGCTGACAAGGTGAACACCTGAGCCTGCAGCGTGGACAAAGTTCAACGGCACAGTTCTGCTTGGAGAGAACCTACCAGGGCTCCACTCACAGGCTTTGCTATGCTGGGCACCCAGGAAACAAGATGAATTGATTCCTGCTTCACCCTCAGCCTGGGTTGAGAAGGAAATGTTACATGCAGATAAACTAGATTATTAGTAAAGCCAGAAAGACAGGTCATGTGCAAGTGAGGCATGTGCTCCTGCTCCCTATTTGCACTGAGTGTGCATTCGAATATTGCTGTGCTCTGTATGTGCCTGTTTCTACCCTGTTCTGCACGCTCTTCAGAAGCACAGCAACACCTGGGAAGTCAGACCTGACCATCCAGCAATGCTCACAGCTCTTTGGACTGAACAAGTTGTGAAATCCCTGTGGGAAAGGATAGAAACAACATAGTTTGACACTGAACAACAGCTTCCTTCTAAAAGTTTCAAACAGATGATGCAAAAAGCAGACAAGATTTTAAGAAAACAAACAAAACATGAGGAGAATCACAGATGCACAGAGGAGACACATTCTTTGAATTTCTGAGTAAAGAACCACCTGCAAGAGCTTGGATTTGTTCATCCAAAGATTATCTCATTCTACTTCCAGACATGTCGACTGCTGGTTTCAGAGCTCCCCATGAAAAGGACAAGGTCCCAGTTTCAGAGCAGATGCAAGCATCTCTGGGGCTTCAGAAGAGCCAGCACTTCACAAGCCAGCAGGCTCAACCCTGTGCAAAGCTTAGGTCAAGCAGCAGTTCTGAAGGGACATAAAGAGTGCAAGAAAACCCTGAATACAGCTACGCAAACTGTACTCAGCTATATCAATCTGACTCAAGACGAGAGATGACTGTGGCAGGGTTTTTTTGTGCTATTTATAATGTAACCCACGTCAAAACCCCATCTTTATGTATCCCAGGACTCTTCACTCCTCTCAGGAGGACCTGATCCTTAACAGCTCTCAGACCCAAGGTGGCATTCCCCTGATCTGGCAGGGTGACGCCAAGAAGAACCCAATATCACACCCTGAACACAGGGGAGGTTCCTCAGGGCTGGGAACCCACCAGGCAGGATGCCGGAGCAGGGCTGGCCTGGGGCAAAGCAACATCTCAGCCTGGCGCCAGCAGCTCCCTGAGCAGGCTATTTGAAGTGCAGCATGATAACCACCCTCAGCAGCTGATAACCACAGTTACAGACACCTACCTCCACATCAGGGTGAAGAGAGCACACAACCACACTTTTCCAGCAGCACAACCAGCTGCTGGCTCTCCGCAGGACAAGGCACAGCCATTGACAAGCACAGGTCCCCAGCAGAGCCCTGCCATGCACACAGCAGAAGCCCCAGGCTCACTGCCACAAGGAGCAGCCCTTGCACCTCCAAAACCACTGCACCTGCTTCCAGCCCACCTGGAGCCCGCTTCTGCCCATCCACTCCAACATGTCACCTGAGAAACAAAACGACCACCACACACAGAGGGGAAAATCTTAAGAGTCACAGGATGGCTTGGGTTGGAAAGGACCTTAAGGATCATCTAGTTCCAACCCTGTGCCGTGGGCTGGCTGCCCATCACTAGATCAGGCTGTGCAGGGCCCCAGTGTTTGGCCCCCCATGCATCCCAGGATGGTGCACCCACAGCTCTCTGGACAGCAGTGCCAGGGCCTCAGTATCTCTGAGTAAAGGATTTCTTCCTAAAATCTCACCTAAATCTCCCCTCTTTCAGTTTAAAGCCATTCCCCTTTCTCCTATCACCATCAAGCCATGTAAAGTCAGTCCCTCTCTTGCTTACAAGCTCTCTTCAAGCACTGGGAGGCCACAATGAGGTTTCCCTGTAGCCTTCTCACCTCCGGGCAGAACAAACCCAACTCTCTCAGCTTTCCTCCATAGGAGAGATGCTGCAGCCCTTCGATCCATCCAGGCTTGGTCTTTGATATCTCCAGGAGGAAGCAGCCTGGCCCAGAAGGAGCACAGCACGGCTCTGCTGAGCACAGACGACAGTTTATAGAGCACAGAGCTCAGCAGCTCCCGGCTCCGAGCTCAGGGATCTCACCAGCCCTCACACCGCACTCCACACAGCTTTCTGCCCGCTGTGAAGTAAGGCTCGGCCCTCCGGACCCTCAGCGTGCCCTGTGACAGGGCAGGCCCCTCCATCACACACATCCCATCCCAGCCCCATCCCGCTGCTGCGCACAGCCCGGGTTTCATCCATCCCGACGTGCCGCACGCTGCCCGCGTCCCGGAGCACCAGCGGGGCTCCCGGCGCTCCTCACCTCAGCGCCCCAATTAAACTTTGCCCTCGCCACGATGCGGCCGCAGAGGGACGCGAGGCTCCATCGCCGGCGGTCTCGGGCTGCAGGCTGCAGGCAGCACGGCGGGGACCTACAGCCATCGCCGACCCCGCCCGCCCCTCAGCGCGGCCGCTCGGGGCTCCCGGACGGACAGCGCCGGCCGCCCCCCAGCCCGCACTTACCGGCGCCGGTGCGGTTGCCGCGCCCCGCGGGCAGCGCCAGGAGCTGCAGAAGCGGCAGCAGCAGGCGCAGCGCCGGGCCGGCTCCCCGCGCCATGGCCGCCCGCGCTATCCCGGCATCGCCGCCCGCCGCCCGCCCCGCAGCGCCATCGCCGCCCCGCCGCCGCCGCCTCCCGCTTCCGCCGCCGCCGCCCCGCCCCGCTCCGCCCCCCCGACGGCCGGAGCCGAGCCGGTGCGCGGGGGTTCGCCGGCGGCTGGGAGGTCCCGGCCGTCAGGGAGCGCCGGGGGAGCGCCGGGACGAATGTGGGAGCGGGGGGCGGCCCTCGTGGTGGGGACGGCCCTCGGGACGGCCTTCCGGTCCCGGGGGAGCCCTGCAGCCCTGACGGCACCGCCGGCCCCGCGGTAACGCCGGGGAACCCGCAGAGCCAGAGCTCGCACGGTCCTGGCGCGTCCCGCCGGCACCCCGGCAGCTCCCGAGACCCCAGGAGGGTGACGTGGGACGGGCTCACAGCCTCGGCGTTGCTCCGAGCCTCTCTCGGAGCCCTCGGGGCACGGCAGGGCACGAATGCTGCCCCGGTGCGGCCGCTCGCAGGCCCGATGCTGGCTCACCTCCAGCCGCCCTCCCTGCGCTGCCCGGGGCTGACCCTGCCCTGCTCCTCTGCCCCGGGAACAGCAAAGCTGGGCAAACAAAGGGCTCGAAGCTCGCCAACATCCTCATCTTCATGTGCTGGGACGTGGCGAGCCGCTCCCCGCCCCGCGCTGTGACAGCTCTGCCTCTGTACCTCTGAGCCCCTGCAGTGACACCGGAGCGCACATCACTCACACTGATGTTGCCCCAGCCGCTGTGTACACAGGGAACGGGTTGTTCATCTTTTGCCAGTAAGCTGCTGTGTGCACCAAGGCTGAAAAAATCCCCTTTCCCCACACACCCGCCCCGGCTCAATCACACCTCAGAGCCTGTGCGCTCCTGAGGTCAGCGGCGTCTTTTGTAGCCCATCCTACACAGAGGAACTGTTGTCCTATTGTCACAGGTAGGGTTGGCCTTTAAAGTGAGGACATGATCTCGCTTTTGTTCTGCGTCAAAGAGAATGTCAAGAATTCCCGAGAATGTTTTTTTTTGTTTAATGAACCAACAGAAATTCTTCATCTTCCTTGTTTACCATTAAAGCTCCTGCAAATCTCAGGCGTGGGCTACATCTGCAGTTTGCTAATTGGTGTGGGTAAGAGTCTACTGGGGGTTTCACTGGAATTCATGATGATTTTTGCCATGTTTATCCCAGGCAGATAACCCAGCAGCAGTGATATCTGTGCTGCAAACATCCCCGTCTGAAGGTATGATCTATAAAAATAAGTAGTGGTGACTTGTCCAAATTCAGGCAGCTTTAACAATGCTGACCCATGAATTTTGGTAAATATACTTCTACTATTAAAAAAAGACACTCAGCTGCTTGACTGTTGAAGGAGGCATAAAATCTTTCTGACTAAGCAGCTGCACATTTTGTTGTACTGCTTTCCATAAATCCATTGCTGGGTTCCTCCTGGCCATAAGCAGAGAGCACAGAGCTGGCACAGCCTGCTCCTGTAGCCCTGTTTGTCTGGTTCTGGTACAGGCAGTCAAAAAGCAGAGCTGGGTGGGAAACCCTATTCTCCATCCCCCTTCAGCTGCAGCCTGGCTGTTTTATGTCTGCCTTGCAGCTCGTTGCCTAAGTGAAATCACAGTGATACAGGATCTGGAAAGGAAGATTACAATGAAGAACTGCATCTCAGGAACATGGATCAAAAATCTGAGAGCTGATCGGATTTATCTTATGTATTCTTCAACTCAAGATGGAAATATCAGACTTTGTTCCTCCATTACAGGAGAGTGGTGAAAGGCTTTCCATTGTAGTGTGTGGTTAATGTGATCCAGCACTGTCTCAGGACTTTTCTCATTCATCAAATTCATTGCAGGTTTGCCTTTCTTGTTCTGTCCTGGGAGCCCCACCAGTGGCTGGTCAGGCATTGGTTGGCTGTGCAGTTCTGGCCTCTAAATCTATGGACACAGTGCATGCAGAGAGAGTCCTAAGATCAACTGAGTGTCTGAGAGCAAGTGAGATGGACATGGGGCAGCTGCAGTATGATGATGGTCTGGGAAGACTGAGGTTTGTCAGGAGAGGGCATAGAAAAGGCCTGCTTTACTCACTCATAAGGGGAGTGTGGATCTGGTGCTCAATGGATTCTGCAGTGCTGGAATTAGAGGCCATCGATGAGTCCAGTAGATTGGTTTGAAACGGATAAAAGGGACTTCATGTGAGGCAGGGAGGGAGAATGAACTTCTGGAACCTGCTGCCACAGGGTGCTGTAGAACCAAATGGGGTCAGCAGGTTTATAAAGGGATGAGCAAATCATGAACAACAGGTCAATAAACAGATGCTGAAGGCAACATGCAGGAACTTATTCTCTGAAATCATTTACTGCTGCTACAGGTGTTGGAGGACCACAACCTCAAAAGAAGAGGCTTGTGTGCTCTCCCCAGTGCCATCTCCTATTGCTGAACACAGCACTGAGTGAGATGAACCAACCATCAGGTCCAGCAGAGCATTTCTTATGTTTGCTGTGTCAACATCCCTAAGCATATTCAGATCATCTCAGGTGGCTGGAGTGTGGTAGAAAGATAGGCAGGAAGAAGTGTCTGCATTTCCATTCCGTATTGAGAATCGGATCAATCCTTAGTGGACAACGTCCAGCAGGCCTGACAGAAAAGTGCTGCTTCTTCATTGAAAGGGGTTGCTAATGGTACAGTCACAGTGGAAACTTGGCTGGATCTGATGACCAAAACACACATGGTCAGCCACACAAAGAAAGTGGGAAAACAGTGTGAGGGAGCTGTGTTAAGTTTCTGCTGTTTGGTTGATGAATGGCTCCCATGCAGCAGTGACAGCCTTGAGAAGGAATTTGTGGCCAGTGTCAAACTACTGCAGGTCTGTTCCACATCCTCTCAGCTGTAAAACCCAAGGCCTGGGTTCTGCCATGGGTATCTCCAATAGCATGGGGTTCAGCATGCTTCATGCCTTCTTGGTCAAAGGGAACTCACAGAATGGGATTTGGGCAGGTCAACTTGGAGGGTGATGAGAAAAAGTTTTTCTAAGATACTGTTTATGGCATTAAACTTTTTGTGATGGCAACAAAGCACAGACAAGATTTTAAGTTCTGATAATGCTTGTTTTTATCATCCCTGTTCTCTCTAGGGAACCATGCAGCTGATGCTTGATGTGGCTGCTCCACTGGGAGCAGTGTCTGCTTTCAGGAAAGGAAGGAGAGAAAATACTTTAAGTCCTCCATCAAAACTGACATTATGGTGAAGGAATACTGAGCACACAGGGACGTGATCAAAAGACCAAGACAAAAATTCACAAGGGTCTTAAAGCCTAAAAAGAAAATATCCCCTGAGGAAGGTGTTGACGCAGCAGGGACAGGAAAAGTACTCATAGAAGAGAGAAAATAGAGTCAGCCTTCACTAAAATGTCATTTTTGATAAAGGACTTAACACTTAAGGAAGGTAGATAGGTCCTGAAAAGAGTGGATTAAAGTATAGTTCAATCATTTCAGTGTTTTCAGACTGCCTGAAAAAAATTGCCCTTTACCTCAGCAACTGATTAAAGCCATTTCACTCATCAGAATCTTTGAGAAATGGTGGAGGGTGATGAGGTTGCAGAATAAGACAATAGGGTCTATTCTTATTAGCAGGGTAAAAAGTGGAAACCAGGGAACTATAAGGCAGTCAAATTCAATTCAGAACTAACAGTGGGACATTTAATCGAAGTAAGAGATGAGTAATAAGTATTGCTATTGCCAAGAATGAATCATTTCAAATGGGTCTGTTTTCCTTCTGTGACAGATTCCAGTTCTTGGTTCAACATCATTATTCACTGTTCCTTCATCAATAACTTATGTGTTGTAATAGAGAATACACTTATTAAAACCTCAGATGGGTCTGAGCTGGATGGGCTGTGAGCAACCCAAAACATTGGGTTAAAAATTGTTTGGATATATCAGAGAGAGCAGTTGAATATGGAAAGGCTGACATTTAGGAAAGAAAAACTGGCCAAACCTAAGGCAAACAGGCTGCTTAGACAGGATTTTTTCAGCAAAAGGCCTATAGGTTGCTATTTTTTTTTTTCCTACTGAATGCCAATGTCAGATGAAAACATAGAAGAACCATTTGTAAACATGTGATGTTCTCCCTCATCTCTCTAGCAAGAAGCTCTCTCAACTGGTATATTACAATCAGCTTTCAGGAAGAAAACCCTGTTTTCCCACTGCTTCTTTGCTAACTGAGGAAGTACGTTTTGAATGGGAAATTCTTGCTAAACTCTTCTAGGATGCTCGCCTTCTTCCAAAGGACATATCACCGTGTCCCTTTGCAGGAAGCACTCTCTCCAGGGCCAGCTGTATCCTGGGCTGCATTGGGGGTGGGAGGGGAGGGAGGGGGAAAGCAGGCCAAGAAGGGAGCAGGGCCAGAGGAGAACCATGAGGATGCTCACAGGACTGGAGCACTTCTGCTGTGAAGAAAGGTTGACAGAGCTGGGCTTGTTCACAGTGGAGAAGGGTCCAGCGAGATCTCATTGCTGCCTTCCAGTACATAAAGAAAGCTGATAAACAGAAGAGAGATCAACTTTTTACATGCGTAGATAGTGATAGGACAAGAGAGAACGGTTTTAAACTAAAAGAGGAGAGATTTAGGTGAGATGTGAGGAGGAAATCTTTCACTTAGAGGGCGGTGAGGAGTTGGCACTGCTGCCCGGAGCTGTGAGTGCCCAACCCTTGGATGTGCCCAAGGCCATGGAGGGTCTCTGGGCAGCCTGAGCTGGTGGGGGCAGCCAGCCCACAGCAGGGTGGAGCTGGGGGCTGTAAGGTCCTTCCAACCCAACCATTTTGTGATTCTGTCATTCTGTGATTTCTGATTGTGGGAAGAGGGTGAGGAGCCTGTTCCCACACTGCAGACCTTCCTGGCAGCGAGTCTGGTCCCTTGGACAGCATTGGGTTCTGTGCACCCCTCTAAGCCAGCACCAGCACCCCAAAGAGCTCGGGACCTGATGGAAGCCCATCCTGGCCAAGGCTGGAGGCTCCAGTTCAAGGCTG